AAACCATTTAGTTATTTTGAAAAATAATTTATATTACAATTTAATATAATACAATATATATTACAATTTTATAATACAATATATATTACAATTTATATAATTTATAATGTACAAACAATGCTAGCATGTGTTACTAATTCTTAAACTGATAAGTATCTTAATTATGTCACTTAAACAATCAAGGTTTGTAATAAAATCAGGTAGAATGTTTTAGGATTATTTTTCCCGGTTTCCTGGTGTCTCCATCCTCCCCCTCCCCCGAAAAAAACCCACAGAGTTTAAAAAAGTGTGATTTTATATTTTATACAATACACCGTAAACTGAAATTATGAAAGCAAAACATACCGAAAGTTTAAATGTACTGTTTCCTTAAATATCTTTAAATGGAAAAACAGTAAACTATTAAGTTATTTTGAAAAATAATTTATATATTTGCCAACAGTGATGCGTTTTATATTGAAAAGAAATGTAAGAGAGAGCGCCTTCATAAGGGATTTTTTCCTGGTCTCTATTTCTGTAAATCAAATCCTATGTCAAAATAAAATATGCGGCAATTAAAATTTAGCATCATATATGGTCTGTAAGTCCAGGTCAGTGATATCCTGTCTTTTCTCAACTCAGTCCTGACAATTTTATGCCCAACTAAGCCTAGTTGGAACAGCGGTCAAGCGGTTAAGAACTGCTAAATATTCGTAACTCGTCTTGGATTCGAACCGGTGAACGGGCTGGTTGGAAAGTTGATTTTGTGTAGCGTGAATATGAACAAGTTCACCTTAGAAAGCCCTCCTGGAAGACATACATTCCCTTATGCAGATTCCCCCTTTCGTGTACTTTGCCATAATCAAATGATCATTCAAGTAATCAGCCGAGACTGAAAATCACTCACTGTCGTCCCATTTCTCCCACGCAGAAACATAAACAAGGGTGAGTTTGTGACTTTCCATCCGTGGTTTTTTATTCAAAAGAATATCGTGAATTAGTTTAATTTCGCATATAGTCTTTCCTAATCAAATTTTGATTATCAATCAAAATTTCAAAATTTCCTAATCAAATTTTGATTATCAATCAGTATAGCAATAAGCTAATAATTTTTTTAATCCATTTTTTTTCATTTATTTGATTATTGCTGTAAAACGATACGTGTAAAACGGGTGATGCAAAATATCCTATACATCTTTTGAGAGCTATATCCTCTTTCTTTCATGAAAAAGAGGGCAAAATTACAATTTGAGGAGATACTTCCAAACTTGGGCTTAGTTGGAAATAAACTTACTGAATTCTTTCCTCTGACTGTGGGAATAAAACTCTGGTATTTGCAGTTAAGTTTTATCTATCGTCTCTCCCCAAACAAATAAATTTTTAAATAATCATATTAGAATTTCGAAATAGAACACAAAATCTCCAATAATTGACCAAATACCTTAAAATCAATTAAATCGCGGTATATATAGAAACAAGTCTTATAATCTTTAAAGGGAATACAACCAGTATGAGTTACATTTGTTCCAAAACGTTTACTTATTTTGACAAATATGACGTCCTAGTTGTGCATCTAGAACAATCAAAGCCAAATTTTTAACGCTCTAGTTCTATGGCACAAAGAGAAGATCACACCGAAAACGTTTAAAATACTAATCCAAATTAGTTAATTATGATATGCGGTTTCAGAAAGCGTCTTAATTTCCTAATCGATCTCAGTTTTTCAAAAATTGTTGCCAATGGAGTCAGAAATTTCATTTTTGGTAGTCTTACCTTGTTGAACAGAGATCATCACAACGTTGTACTGTAGGGGAATAGTTGCATCCTCAGTTGGCTGTTAACACTTGGCGACATGTGGTCGTCTTAAAGGCAGCCAAGTGCAACCCTATTTTGATGGCGGTTCACTTCCCAATGCTGTGCCGTGGGCGACGAAGCTCTACTTACACCCTGATAAGGAAGAAGAGATGTCGATAGCGGACGCTTAAATTGGGTTTCATGACCCTCATCTCCTTTTACATTATTCCTCTTGCTCCCCCTTTTCCCTCGGCATGTGTTGCCATGCACAAAATTCTGCCCTCGCAGGTAATTTATGGGCCCATAGCTTAATTCCTGCTCTCCATTTATAAATTTATTGCTCAGAGCGTTAATACTCTCTTGCTGCATGTATATATAGAAATAAAGATATTATCACGAGAAAAATGTTTTAAAAGTATTTTTTTCTGCCTTATGGAGAGCAAATTAAAAGAATCTTTTATATAGCAACAAAGTGAAAAGCTCAAAAACTTGTAGTTTACAAACAGGTTCGAGAAAATGATTGAAGAAATGAGGATTTTATTTATTCTTGTAGTCATTGTTACACACTAAGCATTATCAAAATCAACCACTTTCCTGATTCGAATCCAATCTGAGTTTTTTTTAATAATTAAATAGGTTCGAGAAAATTGAAGAAATAAGTTTTTTAATATGCTTGTAGTCATTATCATACACTAAACGTTGTCAAAATCAACCGCTTTCCTGATTCGAATTCAGGATGAATTTTTTGAATAATTAAATAGGTTCGAGAAAATCGAAGAAATAAGATTTTTAATATGCTTGTAGTCATTATCATACACTAAACGTTGTCAAAATAAACCACTTTCCTGATTCGAATCCAGTCTGAGGTTTTTTTAATAATTAAATAGGTTTGAGAAAATCGAAGAAATAAGGATTTTAATGTGCTTGTAGTCATTATCATACACTAAACGTTGTCAAAATCAACCACTTTCCTGATTCGAATCCAGTATGAGGTTTTGTTAATAATTAATTGGGTTTGAGAAAATCGAAGAAATAAGGATTTTACTATGCTTTTAGTCATTATCATACACTAAACGTTGTCAAAATCAATTTTTTTTATAATTAATTTTGCAACTGATATAAAATTATGAGTAAAAATTAAGCAAACACAACAATATTTTTAAATTCATTATCGGAACTGGAAGTTCCCGTCTGATTGTAACTTGATACTTTCTGAAAAATCAGGTAATAAACCCTCCTCTGTGTACATTCCTTTTTATGCTTTTAACCAATGATGAAATCATTTCATCTACATTTCATTTTCTTCATTCTGTACCTATCAGATATTATTTAGGTTTTAGAATTTATTTAAAGTTCCATGTATATGAAAATGTCGCCGCATTCATATTTCTCTAAAGATTTTCGTCAGTTCCTATATTATTTCACCTAACTGGAGGACAAGAGCCAAGCTACGATGTACTAGAAGTTCGGACCAGTCTTACCTACTTGACGTTTTCGTGTTTTGCCTCATGCGTTTCGCTATTTTTCTCTGCCACTTGAAAAAAAAAATTCACGAAGGTCTTCAGAAATAGATGGTTAAAGAATGATTTACCACAACTAAATAATACAATATTACACCTGCCTACCTTCTGCATAATTTATGCATTTTCCCATGAAGTAATTTATTTTGGGTTATTATGAAATTATGAAAGCAGGGAACTTGATGATAATGGGTAAACTTTTGCCTTTTGTTTATTGCTTGTATAATATTATATTTAGTTTCAACTAGGAGTTTATTGTGTATTCTTTAACTGTGTTTTCATTCTCTCTTCTTTTCTTGTAAGTGTTCACCAGAGTCGAGCGATCGCTGAACCCTTTTAGTTTCGACCTGGATTCGAATCCAGTCGAAGCTGACTGCATAGTTTTCCCTATGTGTAAAGTGTATACGAGCCAGTTTCTTTTAGAAAGTCCTCCACGAAGGCATGCTTTCCCTTAGGAAAATACCTTATACCAAAATCATACTTAATCCTTTCTGGAATTTTTTCGAGGAAATAAGCGTTTAAGATTTACTTCGTAATTTTTAATACAGATTTTTTGAGTTTTTATGTATTTTTGCCTTGTCGCGAAGTGAAAACTGAATTAATTGAATGAGAAATACTCAATAGTGTGTGAAAAACTGTGGTCTTTTGTTTTTTGCTTAATTCTTTTATACATAGTTCTAGCTTTATTATAGTATTGAATAGAACATATGGACGATAGATAATTTTTAAATGAATAAATTTTGTGCATTCTGAGTTATAATATGAATGAAATAGTTAAGTCAACCTACCACCAGAGTGTCGCTATGGTAAACAAAGTGAATTTTAAAGAATGAATTTATTTTATTGTGGTTTATGCGCTGTCGGCGAAGTAGGTTTAATTTAATCTAATAAGTTGAAATAAAATGCAAGGAAAAAATGCGTATAATTTAATATTCCGTACAAGGAAGTCGTGGTGTACACATCAGATTTTTTAATAGTTGACATCAACTATCCTTTTTAAAATTACCGGAAAAAGTTGCCATTCAGTTTTCACTTGTTACTAACATTTCTTTCCGTATTTTCGCAAAAAGGTATCCGTAGAAATACGTACAGAATAAAAATACGTACAAAAAGTACTTCATTTGTCAAAACACGGGAGTATTAAGAGAATTTTTGGGGGGGTAAAAGTTTTATGTGAAAAGACAGACTGAAGTTAATATTAATCTGTTCAAATATATTGTAGAGACATTAGGATTTTTGGAAGTCGGAGAGATGAAAAATTAGCAATGGCTTTCGCCGATAATAGAACCACGGACTTTTGAAATACCGGCTGAGTGTGCTGACCACTACACAACGAAGGCACGCTAGGAGGGCGAGAGAAATACTTTATAATATAAGATTAATCTATAGATAAAAGAGATCCAGCTTACTACAATAATGTTATAAATTTTATTAATAATTCTTTTTATATATTGCGTACTCTTTATCTTCTGTTTACTTTTTTTCCTTCATATCTTCAAAAATTTTAATGGTTTATGTGACATTTGCCAATCTGCTTTAATTGTGCCAAGAGATCCATTTATCTGTAACATTTTGTTATTCTGTCTGCTATTGGAAACTTCGGATGGCACTCTAAAATTAGTCCTGTGCTGTACTTTCTCCAGTGCTATTTTTATCATGTAACTTATTAATAAAATTATTTATTTATTTATTTAATTCTCATTTTAGGCAATGGATGAAGACGATGAAGAGGACAACGATGAGCCTATCGACGCTACCATGTCCTCAGCGGCCAGCCGGGCCACTACCAACGGTCAGTCGTTATCGGTTTCTCGGACCGCTGGACAAACCCCGCACAACAATTGCCATCCGAACTCTAGCAGCTCCTTATCATCGCAGCAGACGGCCATCTCTACGACGCTAGCTGCCGCAGCGGCCGCTGGTCAGCTGTCCCAAGTACGAAGTTCTGTCTTTTTAATTTTCTGCATTTAAATGTAACATATATATGATTTGCGATCTTTCGGAAGGATGATAGGCCTTAAAAAAACTAATTTATTTCTAAAACAAACGAGTGAAATCGGAAATGTGTTCGGATAAAAGTCGGATGTTGAAAATTCGGGAAATTTCCCCAGGCACTGTCCGTCTTGTTGCCTGGTATCGATTGTTTAAAAAGGAATGAAACATTAATCATTGCAAGACTCGTGCAACAAAGAGAAATAAGCCCATCGGAAGAAAAAGATTTAATGACACTAAACATAAATAAATAAACAAATTCGAAAAGTAAAGTTATAGTAAACGTATTAAACTCATATCGCCTCAGCCCTGTGATCAATAGCTTGCCCCATATTCATAACTGTTGGATCTAAGTCTTTATTCCATAACATAAAAATTGTTAGTTTTAATGTCCTACCACGTCGATGATTTCATAACGGCGCCGACACCTTCAGCGACTATTTACTTAGATATTCACACGCGCATCCTGGCATTTTTTATGAAGATTGCATTCATTGTAATGTAAACTGAACTTCATAAGGGGGCATTTGTAATATAAACTTAACTTCAAATGAGTGCCGGTTGTTCCTCGTGTTTTTCCGAACAATAGCTAACTTGCAAAAAGGTGCCGGCACTTTATCCCTGCAAATTTTTGCAAGTTTGACCGTTCGGGTCCGTCCTATCCGTCCGTGGTTCGGATAATCGACCTTCTTATTTTAGAAAGATAAATATTTATTCTCGGATATAATATCATTTATTTAAGTAAATGAAAGTTTTTAATTGTTGTTCCAAAAAAATAAACGTATTATATCAGCATTATATTTTTCTGCAAACTGAGCAGGAAGTAGTTATATATAACTTGATTCTTTCGCAGTTATTATTCACTGCTGACATGCTTGCTATTTTACCTTTATAAGCACTTGGTAATTGTTAATAGGACTTTAATTAAAAACTGAATTCTTTTGCATTTAGCTAAATTATTTAGGAATAATATGATTAAAAAATCAGTTCCCTTCGTTCAAATACAAAGGCTGAAAATAAACTAAATGAACAAGTCTAGAACAGGAGAAATAGAAGCAGAATAGAAATAGTGATTATGATAAATCTCAGAGATCCAAGAAATAAATAATGCTAAAAAAGATCTGTCGCATTATTTAAAGAATTTCGCTTATCATGTATAATCCGAATATTCACGGACATTTCTTCAGAGCAAACTTCAATGAGTAAGCACAACTGATACTTCTAGTACAAACTTTTCTGTAAATAGAATATGTTTCCTTTTCGATTAAAAATACAGTCAACTGCGATTAACTGGGGTTATACCGAAGGCGATATCCACAGTTATCTCAAAATTATGGTTCATCCGAGGGCAGATATAAAGCACTGCAAAGAGGATACACGCCTTATTATAATTAGCAGAAAACAGTGCTATCAGTTTGTCTTATACTGTCAAATAATTCAGTCTATTGGGTTAATAAGAAAATAATTTTGGTTTGCGCAAATAGATAGCGTTATGTTAGCTTTGTTATTCTTCTGTCAATTTTATAATTTATCTTCTTTTGAGAAATGGCAACTGGGACTTTGAAGTTGCTATAGAAATAAATTCTATGTTTGTTTACAATTGTTGGTTGACAGTTACTTTTAACGTGAGGGGCAAAAATAAACATTTTCGTGAAGGCAAGAAAGTGACCAAAGCACACAAAGAGGTATGTGCAGTTTATGGTGTTCATCGCTCAACAGAACACATGTGCCAGAATTGATTTTAAAAACTTCTTTTTGGAGATTTTTTACTTGAAGAAGACCAGCGTTCTGGTCGACTTTGAGTTGATGATGACAAAGTTAAATAATTTAATCAAATCGTCATATAACTGTAGGAACGATTGTAAAAAGATAAAAAGTATCACAAACAATAACTGGAAACCACATAAGATGTCTTGGACATTTTATGTGGTGCTCGATATTTGGATTCTGCATGAATTGAAAGAAATTCACTTAACACTGCGAAACGCATTTAAACATAGTACAGTCGACCCATTTTTAAAACGAATTATCACTGGTGATGAAACATTCATTGTCTGCAATAACATTCATTGAAAAAGATCATAGTCCAGGCATGGTGAGCCATATCGAAATTTAAAGGCATCAGAAAAACATCATGCTGTCAATTTGATGGTGTTACAAAGGTGTTGTGTATTTTGAGTTGCTTCCAAGAAACCAAACGATTAACTCATATGTTTACTGGCAACGACTTATGCAACTGGTGGAAGAAATGAAAGAGTAAAGGCCAGAATTAATAAGTCGCAAAGGAATCGGTTTTCCCCACGACAATGCGAGGACTCACACATATTTAGTAGCACTCACGAAATTATTGGAGCTTGTTTGGGAAGTGATGTCTCATCCTTCATATAGCCCCGACCTTGCACCATCGGATTATAATTTATTTCAAAGTCTACGGAACGTCTTAAATGGTAAAACTTTCAGTAATAGCGACGACCTCAAATCACACTTGGTTGCGTTTCCTACTGATAAAGACCGGAAGTTCTATAGGCGCGAAATTGTGAAGTTACCAGAAAGATGGCAAAAGGTCATCGAAAATGGAAGATATTTGACTGAATAAAGTTCATTTTTTGTATAGAAAAAAAATAAGTTTTACTTCACACTAAAAAAAAAAAAAAAAAAAAAAATTTTTAAAAAAAAATTGACTTTTTTACCAACCCGCTAGATTAATCGTTTTGTTACGTAAACTAAATATGTATTCGAATCAGATGTAATGTATTGTAAACAACGGAAGAATAGGCATAATTAAAAATGAGGAAATGAAATTATAAATAGAATAATATTTGCAAAAGAACTTAAAAACAAAAGTCTCACTGAGCGAAAACTCGATTAAAAAATAGGTTAGAATATTCGACTTATTTTCGCGATTGAGAAATTCATTTTTGATATGTTTGCCTATTCCGGATTACATGGAGTTAAATTACATAATCCTGTGGGTAAGAACAGCGAGCAATAATAATAATAATAGTGATAATAATAACGTACAATTGTGGACATAGACAACTCCCAAAAAACTGTGGCAATATCTGCTGTCGCTGTGGGTATCCAACGCATTTTTTATTCGCACATTTTATTTTTTATTTTTTATATATTCCATAGAGAGTTTTTTGCTTATTCTGATTGTTCGGAAATAGTCATTTTCCAAACGTTTCGCAATAAACTTTATTTTTTTAGACATGGGTTAATTAATATGCAGCGCATTTTCAATTACGAATCAAAGAAGTTCTTTAACTGATTGGATCCGTAAAATCGTAAAAGCAGATCTATCTGCATGTTAAAAGCATTCAAATTTCTTGAAACGCTCCAGTTTTTATCCTTTATAAACTCCAGCTAAATTATATCTATTTGTTAAGTAGCAAGAGATACAAATACTTAAACGTACAGGATGTAGTGATCGTTTTTAAATGTTCAATTAAATTTATTCATAGCTGTAAGCGCACTTATCAGCTTAATAATTTTCAAATAAATGTATTAACATTTCTCATTATAATTGCAGAGCAAATAATAAGAATAACTTAAAGGAGGATGTTATATTTTCGACAATCTTTCTTCATTAAATTTTACATCTCCTCTCCAAAAGTTAGCGAACTATATTATAAACTGCATTAGTTGACAAAAACGTGTGTAATGCGCTTTTCCTGGCTGATGTGGAACCTGCTGAAAAGCAACATTTACAGTACGTTTTACCTTTGCTTTTTTACTTTTTTATACTAACAGAAATGAATAGGAAGTAAATTCATGCTGATTAAAGTTGTATAACTTTATAGATCTTTTTTTTTTTTTTTTAATTTAAAGTATATCAATCTTCTTTCAAAGTTAGCTGTCGATTTTCGACGTAAATGTAAGTCAAAGTTTACGAAGAAAGTTTATTTTTGCCTAATACTTGAGCGAGAGTTATTTTTTTTTTATTACAATCAATATCAAAATTTAAACAAATATTTTTTCTTGTCTTAATTATTTGAAAGTATTGTTGTCTTTGTTTAGAAATCAATTTTAGAACACTCAAAATCAGATTATTCAGCGCCCTCAGTATTCGTAATTCAGGTAGAAAGCAGTAATTTCTCTACATACTAGTGACGCAGTAGTTTAGGTTCTGTAGAATAACTTAAAGGAGGATGCATTAATTTTGTCTAAACTGTAAATATGATTTTATTCCAATTCGGAATTTTAATTACCTTCATAAAATTAATGCATGATCATTCAAATATACTTTTTTTATTTGATGCACTGGTTTTAAAACACAATATGTAATAAAATTTACCGGTTATTAAATTTCATGATTTTAATACAACTATGCATAACTTATTTGTATTGTAAACAAAGTCTCTAACGTCCGCGCACTGAATTCTGCGAAAATGCACTGCTCCCCCCGTTCCCACTTACGAAGCCATTGCAGGAGAACCCTTCTCAAAATATTCATATGATTCGAATGCACCTCGTAAGGTAATTTCCTGCACTGGATTGATAGAGAATACAGAAAAAATTAGAGACGTCATTGAACATGATGCATTGTACACTGCGGGAGAAAAAAAGTACAGTTCTATATCTCCCGTTCTACCTCGCCGATTGACGAAATTTAAATTGGGTTTTTCATGTCTCGAAAGAGCGACTTAGGATATATATTAGATTTATATATAGCTATTGTTCTAACAGAGATCTTTTTCCATATTTTGATTGTACGACTCAAATTATGCCTAAATATTAAATTTTGTAATTTTCGGTGAGAAATTTAAAAGTTTATCTTGGCCAATTTTTTTCGGTTTGCGCCATTCACTTGATGGAATTCTTAATTTATAACCTACTTAAGTAAACCTATTTACGTTAATTTTTTAAATTCTTTCATTGATGCACGAGAGGAAAAATGGTCCATCGTTCATTCTTTCAAACAATTTTAGCAAATTGCGTAAACGGCATTTTCGTTACTATCGCTTGTATTGTTTAAATACACCGAATTCCAAAACGCGCCAAAATGTAAATTCACGTATACATAAGATATTTTGAATAAAAATCTCTAATTTTTTGCAGGTATGCTTAGAAGTACATCTACTTTAAGACGAGATTAAAATTTTTATAGGTTGTAACGCAAATATTGTTTCGAAAAATTATAAAAAATATTTTAAAATACAAATTTTTAAAATAAATAATAAAAAATGTGCGAATTATATTGGAATAAGCCTAAAATTTCAAATTTTGGAAGAAGAAATCAAGTAAATTTAATAAAAAAAAAAGAGAGATTAATAAATATGTATCAAATTCAATTAACATTGAGGAGAGAAAATTTTGAGAGCTGATTTTTTAAAAACTATTCGTGCTATTTTTACAAAACTTAGCAGTTTGGTATAATTTGAATCGTAGAATCGAAATATGGAAAAAAATTGGCATGTCATTTCAGAAAACGTGCGATTTTGCGTCAAAATACCTATATTAAAACAGTGCTGTGTATAAATTTAATACATATCCTAAGTCGCTCTTTCGGGACAGGAAAAACGCAAGTTGAATTTCGTCAATCCGCCCAGTAGAACGGGAGATATAGAACTGTCCCATTTTTTTCCCGCAGTATACATTGAATTGAAACTATATTGTCGGGAAATTTCCCAAATAATTAATTTAAAATCTCTTGTCTTAATATTTACATTTTTTTTTTTTTTTTAGTTGTTAGCGGGAGCCCAAGGACAGCAGCAAATGCTCATGCAAGCAGGTCTTGCGCAACTTCAGCAAATAGGAAAGGTAATTTTAATCTCCATTGATACTGTTTCTAAATCTCTGTTCGCTGCTTAACCCTTTGCGGCACAGTGTGTCCGCTCTGGACACACCTAAAAATTTCCTTCTGTACGCACAGAAAAATTGAATGAAAAAGGATTTATAGGTTACTCTGAACCTTCTTTATTTATAGTAGATGGCAGCTCAACACAAAACAGTCCATATATTTTAGCCTTGTTTAGTTTTCTAAAACCCTCATTTTTCAAAGATATCTTCCAGATTTTTTTAGGGCATAAAAGGAATTGTTTGAAAAGAAATTTGTATGTTATTTTTTGGGTGTATGCTAATTATTCTATATTAGTTTTAAATTTTTACCTTGAAATCTTGCCTAAAATCAAACGGCGAACCCTAGGTATGCCCAGACCGGGCTTACCGATCATCTAGGACAACTGAGAGTCTGTATGCTTTGTTTCTCCGCATCTCGTTGATCAGTTCATTGACAACAGTGCTCGTTTCAGCACTCTTTTCGAAGCTCTATTCAGTCAGTGTGCCACTTTGGGCACATCCACAGAATTAAAACGATAAGTGCTATCTTCACAAAATGTTACACGTGTACTCCTCTAGGCCTAATTAGACTGCCTACCTTTTTTTTTAAATCAAAACTCTGACTTTAAAAGGTAATTTTCACACATGAATGCGAGTTTGGATTGACCTTGATACTAAAGGACAAAATTAAAATATCTTTTCATTCAAAGATAAAAATACAAAATAGATGACTCTCACTGCATATTTCTTAAAAACAAAGCAACTTTATTTGTAATAAAAAGTATAAAACTAGATATAAGATTCTAGTTTTAGAAGTTAATCTTTCAATTAAATGTAATAAAAAGAGAGAGAAGAAGAAGAAGAAGGAGTAACATCTTCTCCATTCATCATTCAGGAGTGACTGTAATATGATATACATACTTCGGTTGTTTCTATGACTAACAAATATGATCTTGCAATTTTATATTGCATATATTAAAACTGAGTAAGTTACATACATAAAATACACATGAAAACTGTGTAGCATCTGTATTTGTTATACATATATATTTCATAATTTTCGAAAGAAAAACTGATGTTCACTGTTGGAAAGAGGTTTTGAGTATCATATTTTCCATCTAAATGTTTATAAAAGGTTATCATTTATCATTTTAATGTAAAATAATTATCTAAATAATAATAAAAATCGATTTTATCAGAAAATTAGGCTGTTTCTTTCTAAAGAATAGATGTAAAAGATAAGAACATTTATTACGTACATTTTTTAATTTTCATGGTAAATTTTATCATTTTAATACAAAATAACTTCTAAATGATAAAAAGGGCCATTTTGATTTTATAAGAAAAATTATGTTTTGCTCTTATTGAAAGATATCGGAATATCGTATTTTCCATGCAAATGTTTAAAATTGTATATCTTTCTGTTATAAAATAATTGTCTAAATGATAAGAAATAGTCATTTTACAATTTTTTTAATTTTTTATTTATTTATTTCGATTTCAAACACAGTTTAGGAAATGAAGGTTTATCTAAGTAATGTGAAAATTTACAAGTCATATCTTTATTCTATAAAAAATTGTGTAATTGTTATTAATGTTATTCCTTTTGACTGCATAAAATTTTTAAAACTTGTTTGAATTCTAATATTTAAGCTAACATTTTATGTTAGTAATGTTTTGTGAATTTGAAGTAATATTAATTATATTTAGAGACAAAAATGCATCTGAAATAGAAATTTTATCAAGTGTGTGGCAGTACTAAAACTATACTACAGTTTACTATATTAGGATTAATTATTACTGTTAGTTTATTGCATCATTACTTAACTGCTTTCTTTCCTTTCAGTTACCAGTAAATTCAGGTCTTGCTGGTTTGCAATTGAGTCCTCAAGACATTCAGCAACTACAACAACAAATTCAACAGCACAGTTTGCAGAGTATGCAGCCTTTTGTATTTCTGCAACCTGGACAAATGCCAGCCAACATGCAGGCACTTCTTCTACAAAATCAGGTGGCACTGCATTGATCCTCTTTTATTAAACTAGTCAGTGAAATTCATAACTGATAGATCAACTCTGAAAGTTACTTTAAATGGATTTTTAAATATTATTAAAATATACAGGGGTTGGACAAAAATATGGAAACACCTTTAAAAAAACATGTTTCTGTGCTTAATATGGTGTAGGAAAACCCATTGGCATCCCAAACAGCTGCAGTCTTCTCGGAATGGATAAATACGTTCCTGTATGTTGCCAAGGGAATATTATCCCATTCTTCCTGCAAAACGGTGGCAAGTTCAGATAACGATGTTGGCAGTGGATAACGAGAAACGCACTTTCCGTTCCAATGTAGACCACAAAGGTTCGATAATATTCAGGTCGTTGACTGTGGTGGCCAGGGGAGATGGGACAACTCATCCTTGTGCTCAGAAAACCAGTCCTGGACAATGTGAGCTGTGTGAACAGGGGCTTTGTCGTCTTGGAAGACACTACACCATCGGGGAACAAAGTTTGTACCATGGAATGAACTTGATTGGCCAAAATGTTCACATAAGTCTTGGCAGTCATGCGCCCTGACACAGTTATCATGGGGCTACCAGAGAACAATGATATGGCTGCCCAAACCATAACAGAACCCCCTCCATGTTTCACTCTTGGCAACAAGCAGTCTGTATTATAGGCTTGAGATGGCGTTCTCCAGACGTAAACTCGGCCAGAAGTGGGAAACAATGTGAAAGAAGACTCGTCAGACCATATTACTCGCTTCCACTGCTCTATAGTCCAGGCTTTATGACTTAACACCACCTTTCCTGTTATGGGCATTAGCATCACTGATGAGTGGCTTCTCAATTGCAGCACGGCCAGGAATTCCCTGTTTATGAAGCTCCCTTCTAATTGTTTTGGTACTCATAGGGTTCGGTAACACAACATTCATTTCAGCAGTAACTTTTGCAGCTGCGGTCTTCTTATTTTTCGTCGCAATTGCCCTTAATGATCGTCTGTCACGATCACTCGGGACACACTTTCGTCCGCGCTGTGATTTAGCAGATGATGTTTTTCTGCTTTTCAAATATGCGGAATAAATCTTCGATACAGTACCTCTTGAAACACTAAACACCTCGGCTACCTTGCTTACGGAAGCCCTACCATACGTGCTCCAACAATTTGCCCACGTTCGAAAGTCTGTTAACTCTGACATAATCAATGACAACCTCACATAACAGTACTCCACAACACTGAACTAGCATATTTACGAAGTTGTATAGGTGGCGTCAGTGTCAAAAATGCTAGCGCCACCTACATATTTCATTAAAATCAATCTTTCTTTTCAACTGCATTTCACAAGGTGTTTCCATATTTTTGTCCATCCACTGTAATTTTCATGTAAATTTGCATTAAATTATTTTATTATTAAAATAACTAAAAACATTTTAGTATTTCTTCCCGGGAATTTTATCATTATGTATTTGTTTTAAGTTTCATGTCAGTTATGTTTATGAAATAATTTCTATACTTATAAAACCTGGTAGTAGATCAGCAGTTTTATTTTGAAATTGAAATCTAATCTTTAAATAGGAAATTTCTTTTTAATTTTTTCTGTATCTCCCATACTGTAAAATTTCAGCGTTTTTATTTTACACCTATTTTTATTTTATTTTCAGAAAGTATTTTTAGACTTTAATAAAGTATTTAAAAATTTATTTACACTTAAAGTCTTAAAGTGTCCAGTCTTCTGAAGACACTTAAAGTGTCCAGTTTTCTGAAATAATATTAAAAAATATGTATGATATCTGAAATGTACGTTTTGTTAAATGATAAATGGTAGTTATTTTAAATAGCAATTATATACAATATCTTTTCTACACTTCGGCATTACAGGGCCTTCTGCAGCAAGGTATGCTTCAACAAAGTCTTCAGAATCTACAACTTCAAGCCAGCCAAGCGGCTGTGTCATTACCTCAGGGAGTGTTGTCTTCTCAGGCAGCAGCAACTGTGGCTGCTGCTGCAGCAGCCCAGCAGCAGTTTCACCAACAGATGCAGCAGCAGTCGCAACAACATCAACAAACACAGTCTCAGTCACAACTACGACCTCAAGCGCCTCCACAACCTCCACCACCCCCTTTGCCTCCTTCTTCTCTTCAGCCATCTCAGCCAGTAATTATTACTCAGGCTCAAATGCCATCAGCACAGAAGGTAAGAGAATAGAACACTTCATACTTTCCTAAGTTATCTTAAAAATATATTTCAATGTAGTTAATTAATAAAATATCCTCATGTAAGTACTACGTCTGCAGAAAATACAGTAAGACCCCGCTTAACGCGGGGGATACGTTCCATCAAAGTGGAGCGTAATGCGAAACAGCGCTAAACGAGGCTATCTTAACATGTAAATAATGGGGTTAGGGGAAGATGGCTAGGAAATCGTAGGTTTAATTAATATTTTTTTCTAATAAAATAAACCAACATTTATTTCTTACAAAAATAAAACAATATAAACAATATTTATAAAACATAAAATTCTCAGTCAGATCATTCAGTCTATTCTGTATTTCCAATTTTCTGCCTTTTTGTCAAGAAGGCATTATGATAGATTAGCTGAATGGCATATTGCGTTCAATTTCGTCGTCAATCCATATAGACAGTAGTTTTTCCATTTTCTCTATAATGTTATTTCTAGAACGGGTAATTCTAGTTGCAGAGCTTGACGCAGTTGCCGATGGCAGTATTTTTTCTTTATTCTTAAGAATTGTTCTTATTGTTGAAGTTGCCAAATTCAATGCAGCACTAATTTGAGATTGACGTTCACCAGAATCTAATCTTCTAATCACTTGCATTTTAATTTCCAGTGAAATGCTTTTTCTGGTTGCTTTCTTTTTTTGTTTTTTATTATCAACCATGATAAAAACTAAAGGTCATAATAATTGTCACTGTATTAATCGTTATAGTATTATATAAATTTATACTTACAATAATGTCAACAAATGTTTCAAATGATAAAAATGCGTCCATACAGCATCGCACCAAACAAGAAACACAACTACACTGTTTCGGACATGTTATTTGAAAACCTTGCACTGCGCACAATTTTGGGGAATCCCTGGGTTGAAATAAAGAGTGCTAAACTGAAACAGCGCTAAACGAAACAGTGTTAAGCGGGGTCTTACTGTACTTCATACTTTCCTAAGTTATCTTAAAAATATATTTCAATGTAGTTAATTATAAAAATATCCTCATGTAGATACAACGTCTGCAGAAAATCCTCTCTAATCTGAAATGACAATGGGTAACATAACAGGTGACAGGTGATGGAGGACAGAGATGCCTGATGTTTAACAGAGGTAAACAGGCATATGTCCCGCGTCCTCCACTACCTAGAGGCAACAATTCCCTGGAGCCACACGAGGCAACGGATTTAATAATTAGAATGTTTCAAGGCATACGGGCATTGTTGAATAAGTGTGATCATAGGGGAGGTGATACAAACATTACTAGTAATAACCTTAAATAAAAAAAAAACAATACAACACGAAACAATAAACACATAACCAACTGAACAAACATACGGGCCATCCAGGAAGTAGATTACGTTTCCGTCTGTGTCCGCTAGGGGCGGGGCTAGCGCGGCCATCTTGGGGTCAGAGCGTTGCGCAGCTCAGTCTGCATCTAGCCGTGCTAGTGAGAGGTTCGTGCTGTGCTCCGTTCAGATACTGTGACGGTTTGAAATGTCTGCGTTAATTGAAAATCCCGCGAGCTGCGAGGTGCGCTCAGTAATAAGGTTTCTGACTGACTGCAAAAAACTGTAAACCGATAGAAATCTATCGGCAGCTTCGTGAAGTGTATGGGGACAACATTATCACTGAAGGTGGAGTGCGTCAGTGGGTCATAAGATTTCAAAATGGCCGAACCAATGTTCACGACGAAGATCGAAGTGGGAGACCCAGCATAGTGACCGCCGCCGAACTTCTCGAAAAAGTCGATGCTAAAGTCCGTGAAAATCGAAATTTCACAATAACGGAACTTTCTTTGAGTTTTCCACAAATTTCGCGAAGTTTGTTGCACGAAATCATCAGCGAAAAGCTTGGTTACCACAAGTTTTGTGCAAGATGGAAGGCAAGAAGAGGTAACGAAGTGGTTGAAGGCGCAGGCGGCCGAATTTTTCGACGAAGGAATTTCCAAGCTCGTACATCGCTACGATAAATGCCTTAATTTGTATGGTGACTATGTAGAAAAGTAGTATTTGAGTGTGGCTTTCATCTGTATATAATAAAATTTGTTTCCTATACTTTGTTTTTATTTTTTTATTCCAAAACGTAATCTACTTTCTGGAAGCCCTCGTACACAAACACACTGAACACAACACATACACACATATCACATAACATAAAACATAATATGGGTATAAAGGGATTGAGCCTCCTTTTCTAGAATTACTCTAGGACTTACATATCGCAGAAATACAGTTTAGTAAAGATAATTAGTACATAGATGTTGCAAACAGAAGTATTATATGTTACCAGCAAAGTTTGAAATCCGGCATTCTATAGAATGCCTAGGCATTGTATATAATGCCTAAAACTAGCTGGCAATGTATGAAGCAATTCATATTTCGCATGTTTCCTAGGCATTCTATGGAATGACTAACCGGCAAAGTATAAAATACATTTCCGATTCGTTTCGAAGAACCAAACTACTTACCAGAAGTTAATAAATGATGTAAAAAAGCCAAAATGACTACTAAGAAGGAACCACGAGGCTACTGGCTGCTGAATCGGTAGGCTGTGTCTTACTGATTCCAAGTCTCAGTCAGATAGAAAATACAAATTTATTATGTTGTATCAAAATCATCTCACTATCCTTTATGTCACATATTTTGAATAACAGTTTTCTAATGGCACTCTTTCATTAATTTGTCAAGGCCCACCAGCGGCCGAGCAGTAAAGTCGCTGAACACTGGTAGTTCGGTCCGAGGTTCGAATCCCGCAAACGGGCTGGCTGCATGGGTGTTTTCGTGGTTTTCCCCATGTGTAACGTGTATACGAGCCAGTTGCCCTTAGAAAGTCCTCCACGAAGGCATCCCTCCCCTTAGGCAGATAGCCCTAGTGTGGTTTGCCATAATTAAATACACACATTAATTTGTCAAGATAGCATTTGTATTTTTGAGGAATGACTATCTTTCAAATAATGGCTTAATCAGAACCTTTTTTGCATACTTCGCCTAAAGAGCATTTGTCATTCTATAGAATGCCTAGGTATTATATACAATGCCTAGGAAAAGTATGTAATAATTCTCAAATTTCATTCTTTACCTAAAGTTGCCAGGCATTATATACAATGCCTAGGCATTCTACAGAATGCCAGCATTTCCTACTTTGCTGATAAAATAAATATTTTTTTTTAAGTCAAACAAAAATGCCATCTGATATATCCTATTTTTCATCAATGTGAAATTATTTACCATAATTGAATTAGAGTAATTGTATATTTGTGCAAAGATAGTATCATATAATTTCATTTCTATATCCAAACTGTAGCTAAATGTGTATGTATGGAAAATAATGTCGTCCATATGCCTATCTTCATGTGATATACACTTCTATGTAATATCACAGGTTGAATCCAACTACACATATAAATTCAAAAATAATTACTACAATTTACATGCAGTGACAAATCATCATTAGGTGCTGACACTGAGGAAAAATTCCCTTTAGCAACTGCATGAATGCTCGTACTGTTTTGTGTTGCTGTATGTTGGTATGGCAGTGACATACTACACATTGTACTATTCTAGTTTGTGTGGTAAATCTGTATGTTATTCCTTTTTAGTATCTGTTATAGGAGACACTCAGACCATACTGGGTGTCCTCTTTCATATTTCCAATTTCTGGTAGTAGTGTACTAGTTAGCAAGTACAGCAGTACTTCAATCACCTGTGGTACTACAAAGATGCTGGCCTAGCTTCTACCTCTACCCATATTTGTGATATATTTTGAAATATGTAGAAATACAAAAATTAAGAGAGCAGTTTTAAATTACTTCAAGGTGTGTAATCTTCCTCTCATTTTCTAATTTTTTGTTGATAAGTGTATGCTTAGCAACAAAAGAACATGAAGTTTGTTGTAAAGCATATGTTTTACAGCAAAACAAACTTACCTGAATCAGATTCAACTTGCAGTTTAAAATAATACATGAAACAATTTAACATACTAAAATTTATTAATTTTTCAGTAATAAGAGAAAAGATTAACAGCGACACATAAAAGTGAAAAATGTGTCAACCTATGTTAATTCCATCACATCCAGTATAGCTGATATATTTAGAGATATAATACTGTGATATAATGGTAAGAATTTGAAATTTTGCCAAATATCCGATTAAGAGTAAAATAAGTCTTTTTGATATCATAAATGCAGTATTGAAAGAATGATTTTGGTAGGTTTAAAGAAGTGCTCTAAAGATCAAACCATTTACTGTAATTTCATTAAATTATACAAATTTGAGAAATATTAGACATTTAAAAACT